ACTTCATGTTTTGGAGGTTGAAAATGAATGAAAGCATGTTTAGAAGTATCACCACACAAACATTAACTCATTGTGACTTAATTCGGCTAATTTAGACCGATATTTAAATATCTCGCCCATGGGCGAAAGAAAGTTTGGCCCATGGGCGAGATTTTCTATGTTTGCTCAAAATCATTTTTTTTTCAAGTTTGAAGGTTGTAAATGAATGAAATTATGTTTAGAAGTATCACCACACAAAATTTAACTCATTGTGACTTAATTCGGCTAATTTAGACCGATATTAAATTTCTCGCCCATGGGCGAAAGAAAGTTTGGCCCATGGGCGAGATTTTCTATGTTTGCTCAAAATCATGGGTTTTTTTCAAGTTTGAAGGTTGTAAATGAATGAAAGCATGTTTATAAGTATCACCACACAAAATTTAACTCATTGTGACTTAATTCGACTAATTTAGACCGATATTAAAAGATCTCGCCCATGGGCGAGAAAACATTTGGCCCATGGGCGAGATTTTCTACTTTTGCTCAAAATCATGCTTTTTTCAAGTTTGAAGGTTGAAAATGAATGAAAGCACGTTTATAAGTATCACCACACAAAATTTAACTGATTGTGACTTAATTCGACTAATTTAGACCGATATTAAAAGATCTCGCCCATGGGCGAAAGAAAGTTTGGCCCATGGGCGAGATTTTCTACTTTTGCTCAAAATCATGCTTTTTTCAAGTTTAAAGGTTGTAAATGAATGAAAGCATGTTTATAAGTATCACCACACAAAATTTAACTGATTGTGACTTAATTCGACTAATTTAGACCGATATCAAAATATCTTGCCCATGGGCGAGAAAACATTTGGCCCATGGGCGAGATTTTCTACTTTTGCTCAAAATCATGCTTTTTTCAAGTTTAAAGGTTGTAAATGAATGAAAGCACGTTTATAAGTATCGCCACACAAAATTTAACTCATTGTGACTTAATTCGGCTACTTTAGACCGATATTAAAAGATCTCGCCCATGGGCGAGAAAACATTGGCCCATGGGCGAGATTTCCTACTTTTGCTCAAAATCATGCTTTTTTCAAGTTTGAAGGTTGAAAATGAATGAAAGCACGTTTATAAGTATCACCACACAAAATTTAACTGATTGTGACTTAATTCGACTAATTTAGACCGATATCAAAATATCTTGCCCATGGGCGAGAAAACATTTGGCCCATGGGCGAGATTTTCTACTTTTGCTCAAAATCATGCTTTTTTCAAGTTTAAAGGTTGTAAATGAATGAAAGCACGTTCATAAGTATCACCACACAAAATTTAACTCATTGTGACTTAATTCGGCTAATTTAGACCGATATTAAAATATCTCGCCCATGGGCGAGAAAAACATTGGCCCATGGGCGAGATTTCCTACTTTTGCTCAAAATCATGCTTTTTTCAAGTTTGAAGGTTGTAAATGAATGAAAGCATGTTTAGAAGTATCACCACACAAAATTTAACTGATTGTGACTTAATTCGGCTAATTTAGACCGATATTAAAATATCTCGCCCATGGGCGAGAAAACATTTGGCCCATGGGCGAGATTTTCTACTTTTGCTCAAAATCATGCTTTTTTCAAGTTTGAAGGTTGTAAATGAATGAAAGCATGTTTAGAAGTATCACCACACAAAATTTAACTCATTGTGACTTAATTCGACTAATTTAGACCGATATTAAAGTCGGCGAATTTAGAGCGAGATTTTCTATTTTTGCTCAAAATCATGGTTGTTTTCAAGTTTAAAGGTTGTAAATGAGTATCATGACACATATTTTAGCTCATTGTTGCTTACTTCGGCTAATTTAGGGCGATAGAGAAAACATTTCGCCCAGCCAGAAGAAATGTTAGCATATTCTGCATGTAACTATTCGTTATGCACCCACATGCACCCACAAACGCTCTCACGCACGCAAATAATAGTCCTCACTTCATTAAAACAATCATATCCAAAGATAGAAACTATCAGTTTGTGGTGTTACAGTGACATGCGGTCAGCACCATTATCCACCAACATCCATCTCACTATGTAATTTTGCATATAGCGAAGTTTCTTTTGCTTTAAGATGCATCCACTTGTCTAAGCAAATAGCGTCAAGTAAAAAACGTTTTTGAGGGTTAAAATGATTTATTCATGAATGTATATACTTGCAAATACAAAATGTGTTTATGGGCATTTGGCATACTCGAATTTGTGATGCACACACACACACACACACACACACATTCATACATACATACATATACATTATAATTCACGTTTTTAAGGGAACCCTACGTGTATATCAAGGTAAAAATGTTCATATTTGACACATGATAAAAAGGTTCCAAATAGAAAATGAGATAAAATGCAGAATAGATATCTATGTTTCAATACATATAGACCATATACTGTATACACTGCGATCCCACATTAGTTTCTTTTTTCTACATATCTTTGGTGAATTTTCTTTTCCAGTCCATCTTCATAACGAAGAAACACCTTGTCTGAAACAATATGACAGAGCTTGTTTGAATGGCATTTAGAAGTTGGTGTGATGATCAACGAGGAGAGTTATGGATATACAACTTCTTTTATGAGCGACGTTTCGGTGTAGCTACTAACACCGTTATCAAGCAAATGACGTCACATCCTCGTTGTTCAATATAACAGAGTAAAAGTATAACCAATGGAAGAGATGTACGTTACTGGACTATGTACGATGCACAATATTATTTACAATGTCGACAAATCTAACAGTAGAAAGATATGTTAATACATTAAGTAAACCTAATGATATAATAGACGTACCCCCATCAACGGCTACAACTGTTGCTGGATACATTGTCCTATACGTTACGTTGTAGCGGGCGCTGACCATGTCCCCTTCTGCAAACTGAAGCGCAGATTTGTGAATTATCTTTTTCTGTGGCTAGCAATACGAGTGGGACAAAAATCTGTCTAATGGGAAAAGGAAATGTTTAATACAAGTGCTTTTTTCAACAAGCGTATGACATCAAATTGAACATAATCCATTTTGTTTACTTACAGCTTTTCATCAACTGCATAACTACATAACATAACTATATATAAACATCACTTCTCTTGGTGAAAAATCTCAATTCACTGGAACTGTGTTAAAACTGCATCTAAAAGACTAGAAGTCTTGTCGGGTCAGTCATGGCTGGTACTACATGTCACATTTGAGAATCATCTTGAAAAATATATTCCTTGATATCATACTAACCTTTGGCTTGATGGGTCTGATGAGGCTCGTCTCTATCCACGAATCATAGTGTTTTGAATAGTTCATCCAATGGACCTTCACACGAGAATTTCCTTCCTGTATAATTTTGACCTTGAACCTGATAATATAATGCAACATAATGAGAAGACATCGAACAGAAGCCCATGTCACGTGTACTGGTATTACTTAGTATCTTACATATCGTCTCAGCAATTATTTTTTAAATGCACCGACCAGAAGAAGCCATGCGTAAATTATAGGGTAACTGTGGTAACAGATATATAGCTGGGAGATTCTTACCACATTCCCGTGTCTTCATCTTTGCCCTCCATCAATTTTCCAGTCGTCTGAAACGTAATCAAATACAAATAATGAGCGCAGGTAGAGTTTATATTCATATGGCATTCCTCTGATGATAATGCCTTTTGGATTACTGTTTACGCCGTTTGATAATTAAAACGCTCTGCATGATGTTGTGTTTAAGCCGAGTATGCACCCATTACACAGTTGGCTTGTTCATTACAATATCATCCACTAATAGTGAAAATGTCATAGCACCAGATTTAAAATTAAGCAATCTGTCTCACACATTACATAATTATAATTTATGATACAGATCAATCGCTCTTTAGTAGCTCAAAATGAGCGGGCATGATGTTGTGGGAGTGACAACATGTACAGAGAAGCAAAGACTCACAGCATTTGTTTCTTCCTTCCTTCGGTGTTGTTCGATAAAGCGTTGAACCTTAACGCAACGAAAATTACACAATGCTATTTAGAAATGAAATACACAATGCCATTTTCAGAAATTGGTCAAATGTAACATGTTATATTTGGGATTACTCGAACCCGCACACTCAGAGTCAGGCACCTCATCGCCAGCACACCGCCTAGTCAGACGCCTAGACCGCTCAGCCACTGCGGCGTCCACAAAAATGGAAGTCGGACAGCTGGTAGTCTAGACTGCGGACTTTGTGTACCCCTCTGATAAGTGTCAATTGGCACGGCTTTGTGTGCCAGCGATTAGGTGCCTGACCCTGAGGGTGTCGGTTCGAATCCCGGATGGGACTCAACCCAAAAAGTACTAGAATCTGTACTTTACTAAGAAAATGTAATCCCAAATATAACATATGTACCATTTAGAAAGTCAAATTAACCTTAAGACCAGGATCTGTAGTTATCCAAATGATTTCATCTTAAGAATGAATTAAATAATTTTCTTTCTGAAAATACTCAACATTAGATCCGCTATTCTTTATTGGTTGATGGCTTGCTATAGCTTATGACCCCTGTTTTATCCGAGGATACTGTATAATGAGTGTCATAATACCTGCTCGTGCTGTTGTGTCCCCGTTGCCTGTAACGAAATGAATGGAAATAGTTTTATTCAGAAAATATTCAGAAGTCATTAGCTATGGAATATAGGTGGGTACTCATTTGTGTGGAATACAAGACTCACATACCGTATTCTCGCCCTCGCTTGCTTCATGTCGGAGTTCTGCTTCCAAATCAGTCTCCTGTAAGTACAGATGACTTTCGTTACTCATCGAAGAACCTATGGCACAAGGTTTAGTACTTTAAGTATATGTTATCTTTACAATAACCTTAAACTTCCAAATGCCAATCAAACGTTGAAAAATGCCAATATCTTTGCCATGACAACTCCTTTCGTGATCATTAACATATGTAGCAGGTTACACAATGGCGGTACGCGACTATACACGGAAGTCGCTATACATACCACGGGAAAAAAATCCTCGGATTGAAACTCGTAAATCTGCAGATAAAAATATTCATGTAAATAATCTTCACATCAAGAAATGTTAAAACATCTTCGTATACCATGCCACTCATATTTGTATGTGAACTGTATGGTAGTAATAACGTGAAATCTTGGTTGCGTCTTTGAGAAGCCCTTCATTAAAAGTAACCAGTGTCGAGTATGAGTACGAACTTGACGTCAACTAGAATGGTGTACCCGGTAATAAGAAATTTGTTACATTTGACCAGGCACTTTGTAAGTATGTGTTATCTATCATTACAGGAGTGTAATGTTCTATAATGAGATGACTGTGCAGTCTGATAATCTGTGCAGATGTGCATAGTACTCACGTTACTTGTTTCCATTTGTGGCTGGTCATTGCCATGAGAAGCACCAGCCTGAAATAATATTTAACATTGCATATCAAAACAGCATGAAGAACATGTCGAGTATGGCGATAAGAACATTAGTTTCGGAGAATAATATTCTGCCTACCTTCAGTATCTGGATTTCTGTTTCCAAGGACGCAATCCTTTTCTCTTGCCTTTTCAGTTCTTGTTTTAACTTTTCATTCTCCCTTTTCAAGGTCAATTCGTCTTGTGACTGTAATGAAAAATCCTTTCGGTCATCAAGTTGTGTGTGTGTGTTTGTGCGTGTTCGTGTGCGTCTCTGTCTGTCTGCCCAGTGGATCTATATATAATGCCTGGTGTGGAGGCAACATAATGTATCATGTCATCTTGTAATCCCAAATCCATAATATATGTGGAGCATATATTTCCTCAGCTAATACACTAAACTTCAGTAATTTAAAACTAATTCATACCTTTCCCTTTTTCATTATTTTTAAAGTCCGGTTAAAGTTCTCTTTTCCGGTCCTTCCATCCCTGAAGTCAATCAATTTCTGGTACAAGGCTTCCTCGTCCCGTGTTCCAGGTATTTCTTTAAACAACGCCCTGTTGACGGCCTTTGCTGTCTGTTTCGGGAGTTGATTATGTCGATACTGTGTCATGATGTTTACCGCGGCATCATAACACCTCTGAGACATCACCGAAACTGCCAGGTGTTCCTTGTAGGCACCCCAAAGTATGTCTAAAATAGAATAAAACACTGTATCTCATCTGAATGAGCATGTTCGATACGTACGCTCTGATAACTTGTTATTACTATCAATATTTTCAAAAAGGGAAATAAGAAGCCTTCCATTCCCGCAACTAGCTGACATATTAATCAATATATTGATATACTACTGACTGATCCTCTTGACATGTACATACCTTCTCCGATTCCAGGCCCACGGCTGCCATGCATTTCGCTCTCCATTCTTTATGTTTGGAGTCAAGTATTGCTGTAGTGTCAAATTGGGGGTTAGCTGGGTGGAGTCTCCGAAATGTCTACAATTATAAAGATTGTAAAGTGGTCAGTATTCGGATTTGGATTTCCCATTTGTGTTTGTGGGAATAAATGTAAGCACTGAGTTTACAGTGTCATACGATCACAAAAAAGTGTGTTGGAGTGGTCTAATTACCTCCACAACGGCTTGGAAGTCGCTGGTGTCCAACCCCTCGCCATGGATGTCAGGTGATTCCTCCAAACCTACTGGTTCAACAGAAACTGCCGTGCTCGTCGCGGATTGTTCTGTTTATTAAACAAGTTGTATTATCATACATGCCACGCTAAACAATTACACAATTTTACAAAAGTTAACATGCAATGTCACCTGCTTTGACTGTGTAACTACTCACAATAAGCCAAATTAATGTATACTAACATTGAAACCATACTGATTTAGTGGATTAATGGAGGCCATCTGGATCCACCGCGCAAAACCTGAAATTAACAGGGATTAGGGTGTTTTCCTACCGAATGCGTGGTGCATAGAATGATAAGCTTTCAATATACATGTTTCCCCATGTTCACTGTACATGCTTTTATGTGTTTTTTATGTATATCCAATCCTTTTCATTGTATAAACATTCTGTACATTCATTGTATAAACATATCACTCTTTTAAGTCTGTCCATCTCAATCAAAACACATTACTTAATCTCCTTGATCTCTGAGCATATCAATTTGTAATACAATCTCACTGGCTTCCTGTACATACTATACTGGACAAAATAAGTTAGGGATATTTGTGAATGTGAATTTTTAACCATATGTAAATGAATATATAGATCATTATTCATAATTTCAAAATTTACATATATATCCCTCACTATTTTTGCCCAGTATATATATTTTTCTCGTAATCATATTCTGTCATTCAACTGATGAAGGGGCAAGAAGCAGCCCAGAAACGTCGTGTTGTAAATATAAAAGAAGATGTAAATCAATACCTACTAAATGCCCATCAAGCATCTCATACTGATTTGCTTAAATTTGTTCGTCTTACCTTTGTAGAAACTGATATTCCCGTTAATCATTAAAAACTTCAAAGTCCGAGCGAATGTCGCCGCGTCAGTAGCCACGATTAACTCATCTAGGAAGCTGTCATTTCCCATGTACTTCGTCACCAAGCAGTTCAGTTTCTTCACATTACCCTTGATGCACCTGTCTAGCTGAAATTTGTAATGGTAAACACATAACACTCGAGGGAAATTAAAGGTTTTATAACCGATTAACGCCCTTATCGAATATTATCCAATATTTTCCTCTATTTATGTGCATTTTAGAGCTTACGTAGACACGGATTGCATGGCGTACATTTTGTTTAGCATCAAGAATTTCCATTGATGAACATATCTCGAATAAATACGATCAAATACAAGCCTAGTTTCTGATAGAAATTAACTTACTTCAACTGTAACTTTTTGGGGGCACGCAACGGACGGATACAACGCCAGAACCTGACATTCCTCTTTTCCACCGAACAATCCAAATGTGAGAACTCTGTGCACCGAAGATCCAAGCTGCCACTGCATCGCCATTCCTTCCAACTTTCGTCAACTGTCGGTCAATGATAAGTGACGGGAACGTCGCCAAGTGTCGTATATATTAATGAGACGTTTTAATAGTTGTAAAAGCATATACGAGACGTTTCAAAGGAAGTTGTTACTTACAAGCCCACTCTTATACCCCTCATCATCGCTGTCAGGGAAATGCTGGTCAATCCATTGTATTCATGTACGTCTTGTATATTGAATTGAGTCAGACCCTAATTTGATAACAGATTATTGCTAAACACACACTTAACCGAAATGAGGATATGGGTCTCCAATCGGCTGTTTCCTGCTTTAAACATTTAGAAACGTTTATTCAATGTATGCAAAGTAAGTTGCTTTAAAACGGTTTATCTTGATTTGTATTAAAAATACTAAGGTAAGTAGGTTCAAAGTATTAACCGATTGTGCTCAAAACGGTTTCTATCATTTCATATATACACCATGTACAAATCTTGTATTCATCCTTCTTTTCATTACTGCTCTCATATTTGGATTTGGGACAACTGCACCGATCAGCAAGCTCTTACTTTAGAAAAACTACATTTAGATGTCCTTAGAAGAATAGCTGGTGCTGTCCGTAGAATAAGATATGAAATAATATATCTTGAAACTTCGTTGATTGAAAGGCGAAAATACTATAAATTGCTAACACTTTATAAAATGTATCATCGTTTATTACCGGACTATCTGTGGAATCTATTACCCCAATTAGTCGGGGATAATAGTCGTTATCCCTTACGTGATTGAACTAATTTAAAAGCATATTCCAACAATAAGATATGCCAAATCATTCATTCAGACACAATCAAACTCTGGAATTCACTGCCTCTCGAGGCTAGACATTTCACGCCCTTTTCAAAGAACAAAATAAATGTAATATTTACTTTGATGTATATTACGGAGGTAGAAATTGACAACTAGAACTAAATATAGTAAAATCAGAAAAATGCCTTCTTTTACATCTACGGATAGGATCTAGAAATGTCTAGACTTCTTTTAAGCAAAAGTGTTGAAATGGATATATTAAATGTAAATGCTAGAACTCTTGTGTGTCCCGGTATGTTCACTTGTTTTCATTGCAGCACTTATCATCATATTGTTAATTGCATCTTTCCTTCATTTACTTATGAACACATGCTTCATTAATCTATTTACACATGAGTTGTCAATCATTTTTGCTTATTTGTAACCTTATGGAACAAGTTTTTATGGATCACGAGTTTGAAATTGTTAATAAGCACAAAATGCTTGTTTACCAACACAGGTTGCCGAAAATAAACAATAACCATATACATCATGCAACGTCATTACTGTTTCAAATGTGCCTTATGTTAAATGATCTCTGCACAGATAACTATTTATTGCAGATAAATGTGATAAATACTTGTTCAAGTTAGTGCTGTTATCATCCACAACATGTTAATTTAGTTTGCCACTATCTCGTTTACAATCGTACATTTCTGTGTACCATCTCAGTTTGTTGAGTATTTTTTAGTGCAAACATGAGGCCACGGCGTGGAACGGTCCAGTTACGTAATTTCAGGAAAGCTCGAGCGCCAGCAAAGAAATCGGTCTGTCCCATGTTTGGTCTTGTGTATTGGAGTAAACGAGCCGACGCTTTTAAGTGTATTTTGCTTCATTCCATTGATCACGCTGGGCAATTAAGTGACACTAGCTGTGGGATATACAGGTGCAGGTGCAGGTATTTAGGCGAAAGATTCATGTCTGCGCATTACGTGCTAAATATCTCACAATCATTTGTAATGTCCAGTTGATTGTTTTATTACATGAGATGTCGAACTGACCAATGGGAATTCTGTTTGGGGAAATCACTTTATCGTGACTTAATGTCTTCCGATTATATATTGTTATGGGATGGAGAAGGCATCAGAGCGCACGTCAAATCTCCAAATCATCATCATCAAGGGACCAGAAACGGATGTTCAACAACTTGATGAAGAAGTAGCATATATATGATATCCAGTGATTCCTTCTGACAATCTTCATCACTGTTTTGCTAAAAGAAAAACTGTTTCTTCGGATTTGCGAATTTCGCACATGTTGACTTATGTACTAGTTCCCTATTTCCTTTATGGAAGAAATCACATTTGAAGCCATGACAGATGCAGTTATCGGGCGCCCTCAAATCAAGAAGCCAGAACTCACAAGGACTTGGACTGCGTTGGTAAGTGACTGTATAGATACGTTTATACCCACAAACGAGCAATTGCCCTTTACGTTATTGTTACAATATTCGAATTCATTTATCGCTTGCATTATAGATATTACTCAATACGTTTTTGCGATATTGCGGCTGGAGAAAACCCTTGAATAATGCTATTAAATAGAACGTACAGCTCGTCCTCACTTCACGCGACTAGTGTCACAAATGGTTACAGGCCGGGAGACCACATTTCCAGAAACAGATAGCCAAAATTGATGTGGCTCTCCCGGCAATAGTTGTGGTTGCGTGAACATGGAATGTGGCTCTCCCGGCTATGGTGTCAAAACATATTTAGTTATTCAAACAGGTTACCGTATTTAACAAAACATGACATGTTTCCTCATAATTTTATTCAGATCACAAGAGATTTTATTTCTATAATTAGCACAATATAATATACTAATATTACATATAATATTATCACATCATATTAAAAACATCTAAATCTGAAAAACTTAAAAATGATAATGGTTTAATTTGTTGCCATG